ATGCCTTTCCATTCATAGCAAGAAATCTATACGCGGATCTTGATGCCAATAGCCATACATTTTCTTAATTTACATATATTTTATTACAACATTATCATCGGTGCTTGAAACATTTTTGCCATTAAATATGCGTTGCACATATAATAAGAATAAAAAAATATTCAAACAGTAGATGATAGTTGAACTAAATCTCATTTACAATGTGGAAGCAGAGCACAGCTATTTTGCCGATTTTACTGCAGACATCATTTGTACACGTAACAGTAAAAGCAACATGTCACACGTTAGACACGTCCTTTATCAGAGAAAAAAAAACTTTGCTTATCTCCCTCGAATTATCCAGTCCAATCGAATAAGAAGCGCGTATGATCGCATGCTATCGAGTACACCGCGCTCTCGGTACCTTTAAATACTTAATTAGCGATTCTCGTGTCAGCCGTCGGCTCATCTCCGACGATCTGCTCCCTCGTTGCCGCAGCTATGAATATTTAAAAACTAGCAGCCATTCGAACAGAGATTAGCATACCTACGTACGAGTGGTGTGCCTATTTCACTCTAAAATGTGATATTCTCCTATTTTCTCTATCCCGTGGGAAATATGAGAAAACGACCCACACCCCTTAAGTAAAGGATGTCGTGATTCACGTGTGTTCCGAGAGCGCTCTTTTTACGAGAAGCCGCATGGGTATGGATTTTGTGTAAATACGCACGTTTTTGTCATATATTTGTTTATAAAGCCTCTAGGCGTGAGTTTTTCTGCGAGTGTCGTTCCTCAAATGAGTCAATCAGGAAATTGGCCCCAATTAAACCGAAAGAAAAGAAACCACACCACGGGGAGAGACTTTTGCGTGACGTATACTCGTTTAGGCTAGTGCAAAAACAAACCATTCGTGGCCTGGATGGATGATTCGCCTTGACTTTGCTCGAGTGCGAGTGATGTCGTGAATAACTTATCGAGTTAGCTCGTGTTTTCGTGGAGAAGAAGGGCTTTTTGTATTGGCGGATGGATTATTATTTTGAGGTTTTGGGTTTCATTTCTCTGCGATTGGAAGTGGAACTGCTTATTCACTTAGTACTTGCAACATTATTTCTAGTTTCTATCTTGGAATTTTGTGCAGTGAGTACACGACTTCTAGAGAATTGGTATTACTAAGGTATGAAAAATGACCCCAACAACGCCAAATTCACTTATTGGTGTACATTTTTGGATATACTGACATATAGGGAAAAATGATACTTCACCGTTTAGTATAATGGTCACATGTGGCTCGCGAGTTGTAAACATTTCAACTTTGACGTAAAAAATCTGAAAAAAAGCTTTAATTGCAAGAGCAAAGTAACATTGGATTTTTCCGCTGTGCGCAAGGAAAAAAGTATCAAAGTTAAAAAAAAGCACTCTAGTTGAAAAGTCGAAAAGTAAAGAGCTTAAAACGAGAGCGACGGGACGCAATGGTTGGGAAGGAAAAAAGAGGAAAAGAAAGAAAGAAAAACCATCAGAGAAAGGCTGGCGAAAACTGAGAAAAATAGCGAGTGGAAAGCGAGAGAGAGAGCAGATCTTCAAATCGATCATTGTTGGGGTTACGTATACGACGGCCTTTGTGTGAAATGTGCGCCGCTGCAACCCACATTTATATACGTATATGCGAACGGCTGTCGATTTTCCAGATCGACGTCGTGGCTTTTCAGAAAACTTTGGGCTCGGATTTTTCATCCCCCTTTTTCTCGCCCCGAGCAGCTTGTCGATGCCTGTTGTATAGAAACTACTTCGCGTGATACGCTTTTAGCTCGCGAGCTTCGGCCTTTTTTTTGTGTATGTTGGAGTATCGAATCGTGAAGATGGACCATTTTCAGATTAAAATAAAATTCGTACGCGTGAGTCTGCACGCAAATATATACTGTACACGTACTCTGTACTGTGGGTTATACTATGCAATCTGCATTCGAGCGTGTACCTACGACTATTTTTTCAGGTTTCTTTTTACGCCATCACTATTCTATTTTGGAATGCACGTTGAAATTCAATGAATGTTGCTTCCTACCCATATTCGTTTTCGAAGAAAGTTTACCTAACGCTGTTTCGAAAAAATCGACAAGCAAATAATCGTGTATTATTCTACGCGTGTGCCATGTAAACATCATACCCATGTATATGATCTTCTATTATAACGATTACAATATGATAGTAGGGTATACGTGGCTCGATTAGTCAAAAATCGTCTAAAATTTTACTAATTTTTTTACAATTATCGGTTGGTTTTGACAAATATCTAGCTGCATTTGATAATGTTTACGATATTCTGGGCATATCATATTGACTCCCCCTGGTAACAACGAGGCTATTCTAGCAGAGGGCACCGAAAGAAGGGGAACAAGGTTATATAAGGCCCAGCGAGCCTGAAATCGGGGCACTCGGGAGGTGGCAGTCGAGCACTATCAAGGCAGTGGAGCGTTACCGGGCGATAATTAGAGGACACACGATGAGCCTTGAACGGAAACACACGTGCGACTTTGCCTTATAGATGTGGTACCTGGAATAAAGGTCTTTAAGGAATTAGGTATTGATCATTCTCGCGACGCACCTCCTTATCAATCTCTTTCCCACGTAACAATAATATCTTTAAGGATGATAATTATAATTGGCATCAGATTTTATTCGTGCAACCATCGGTGATAATTATTGATACATTTATCGATCAATACCAAAAATATGTCGTTGCATGTCTGATGTGTTGAGAAAATTAATCATATTTAATACGATACTTCATGGATAATAATAATAAAATATTTTTAGTCGTACACAAAACTATTTATTTTCTGTCAAGTTTCATAAAATTAATGATCAAGTTTTGTACGTTACAAGTACGTAAGAGCTTTGCTATGCAACTTTTATAAAAAAAAAATTAAAAAAAATTTTTTTTCGTATTTAAAAAAAATTTTTTTCATATTAGAATTATTATATTTACCATTTACTTGCTCAAAACCGTCAATACAATATTAATAAATAAAATTTTAATCCCACAAGACTATGAGTACATACTTGTGATAAATGATTATATTTTTGATTTTTTTATTGAACCCACTCTGAAACCCCTCAGTGATTGACCGATTGACGCATACTAAATTAACGCTGGACTTTTGAAAAGCCTTTGTCCTTAAAATAAATCGATTTCATTGTAACGATTGACCAGATTGACATTTAATTTAAAATCCGTTCCGTACTTTTTCGATTGTCTATCCGTTTTGATGACGAATATTCATTAACGACCCAATTATACGGTACAATTAAATTGTTTTACAACGGTAAAACAATGGGATCCGCTTTAACATAAACAAACGGTTTGGAAGAAACATTTTACTAGAAGTTAACTTAAAATACCTACGAAAAATAAAAATAACATGTTTGAGAGCATCCTTTTTTTTTAGAACCACAGCCTTTACAAATTAATTTCTCGGCTAAGTTCTTGAACTGCAGCCTGATCATGAATTCCAAATGTGTAGTTTACCGAAAAATATAAGTAAATCAAAAATAATTTCCAATTATTTAATACCTAATGTTTTTTCAAAATATTTTTTACTTCTTTGACAAGTGAAAGAAATTTCTTCCCTAATTTATTTCATAAGTTTTTATCTATGCAGAGTGGGTGAAACATTACCATCTAATTTTTTTAACTTTTACGTGTATCCGATTATACTGAAATTATGCACACAAATTTGGCTACGGTGAAAATACAATATAGCTTACCTCAAGTTTCAACCCTTTATTGTAGGTACATCAAGATAATTTTTTTATGATGGTTGGAAAAATATGCGGAAGTATTTAATAAGAATCTTTTTTTTAAATGTTTGATTATATTTATTTCCTTTACTTACAAGAAGAGATAATGTAACAATTTAACTGTCATAGTACATTCAGGTGATTAAGAGTAAAAAAAAGTGTGGTAATAAACGTGACAGCGCTAAACACATTTATCGTGCCGAAAACGTAAGTTTTACGTGAATAAGAGAATTATATGTATGATAGTTTTGAAAAAAATTGTGGGACAAAAGTGTCCACTCTTGTGTTGGTGATGAGAAATCAATAAAAAAGTTTACACAAAATCAATCTTGATTGCGCAAAAATCGATTGAGCTAAAGTGTTTAAGGTATTTTCCTAATTTAACTTACTCAATTTTATAATATCTTATTTCACTCACTTCAAAATAAAAACATCTTTTACGCCTTGCTTTTAAAATAAACGAAAACTCGAACGTATCTAAATGCCTGTAAAACAAAGATGTATTGAAAATATTATTTGCGTAAATTTACGATACACATTTGTTAACTTTTTTTTTCATATTTCTTTTTTTGCTTCTTTTTTATTCGTTAAACATTACATTCAATTACGTTTTTATCTTGTCACAGCCTCTGGGGAAAAAAACGAGCTCACATACATACTTAATTAACTCTAAGCCTAAACCACTTGTTTGTGTGCAATAAATTTATTTTCAATTTTGCTACACTACTGTACTATAATGTTAATACAAGAAATAATCATGGAATTAAATTTAAAAATCACTAAAAGCATTGCTTTGCCTTTTTCTTTTTTTTTTCTTTTTGCAAATCACGCAAAAAAATGCATATTGTAACTGTGTATTTTTTTATATGTCTTATGATAATTAATAATGAACGTGAATGCATTGATCCACTCGTATTCTACTAGATTATTCTTGTTTACATAATGATACAAAAAATAAGGATTATTGTTTATTTCTGCCCATTCCATTAAAAATTAAAAAATTAAAAAATACAAAAAAGCTGCTGCATTAAAAACTAATGTAACATAAATGTAATATATGTACGTGAGCTAAAAGCTAATAGACGCATGTAAATTTTCCTTTTATGAACTACTGCTTTTTTTACGTACTATATTATGATTTTGTGAAACATTTTTTAATGATTGATATAAAATATGAAAATACAGCTATATAGTATTAAAATATAATAGCTAAAAGCTAATAAATTCATGAAAATTTTCTTGTCTTGATCTACAGCTTTTTTCACGTACCATATTGTTTGTTTGAAACATTTTTTTGTGATTAAAAAAAATAGAAACATACATTTGTGATAGTAGTTATTTCATATCGATTTTCTTCCTGTATGTGTACACTCCTTTTTTTAAGCTCGTCGAAATAAAATCAATAACGAAATATTGATTTTACTTCCATTTCGACGAATTTTCGGCTAAACAAATTCAATTAAAGTCGAAAAAGTAGGTAAACAACCGTCAATCACAAGTAAAATTAATACGCTTTTCATTAAATCATTCTACTCCAATCAACGCTATCACCAATATATAGCTTATTTCGAACAAAGGGTGATGAGAAGAATTATTAAGATTAAATTTCAATTTGAAATCTTTATTGCGAAATTTCATTGAAGTGACTTGCTGAATATTATTCTTGGATACGTCGAAAAATTTTTCATGTCGTAAATTGTTACGGGATCGATTGATTGATACGATTAAAACTGTTTTTAATATGAACATGCGCTATTAAAATCAAGTTGTATGTAAAAAAAATTTTTAAATGATTATACAGAAATTTTTCACTTAAACTTGTATGTCATAATATTATTAAAGTAAAGAGATCTTAAAGTAAATGAATGCCATGCATGGACATTAAAATTGATGTGTGATAACATTTACATTGTGTTATCCATTGCGCTTCGCATTAAACATTAGTCGTATAGTAATAATAATAGTAATAATAATAATAATAATAATAATAATAACTATAATAAAATATCTGATGATCAATGTGAAGTGCCTATTTTTTGGAGGGACTGTCCGCACAGTAGCTGAGCAGCTCGTCAATCGTGCATGGTTTCAGACAGCACTCATTGTAAATGCCGTTTGACTGATCCTGACGACGACTCCGGCGGTATGCGAGCCGGGCCAGTAGGTTGGTGGCATCGTTTCGTCGTCGGAAGGGCATGCCGTCGTCGTAGTACTGATAGTCGTCTGAACCCGCTGGAAGTTTGTCAAATAAGAAAGATATTCCATTAGATAATGTGTATCTTTTTTTTCTTTTAATTAAATATCACTGGAAGAATATCAAGACGAAGTAAGTGCAAATTTCAAGAACGGCCTTTGGATTTTTTTTTTTTTTTTTTCTCACTGAAAATAGTTGAAACGTTTCGGATTTCCTGTTGAGATCACCCATATTTCTCTTTTGGTATTGTCACGTAAGATCGCGGGGAGCTTTTAAAGTCTAATTTTTCATACCTTGATTCTTTCGCTCTTTTGGTTAGGTGTAACAAGTGATTACTTTTTTTTTTAATTAGCTTAACAGCTATTAAATTAAAAATTCGCAATAAAATTTTTTGAAAGTTAAACTTGAAGTTTGAGAAAGCAAAGAAATAGCTCACATGGCCTTGAAAAAATTTGACAAGCCCGTGCATAGAAGAAATGAATTGTACGGAATCGTTGACAAATATAAATAAATAAATATTAAATATTTATCCATAGTTCGACTCGCCAGAGCTTCGAGAGGCAGCAACAAAACAAGGAACTCAATTTGAGTGCTCGCGAGAAAAAATGGTTCAATTTGTAGGAAGACAGATAAATACAAAGGAACGACTCCAGACTATAGTTGGCTGCACGCGTAACAAGATAAGGGAGCTGGCAAAAAGAAATGGGGGGTGAGGAGAAAAATTGCCATCCTGCAAAACGTACCTTGGTTACCGTCCTTCTTGAACATGCTGTTGTAAGCGCCTTTGCAGACGACCGACAAAGTATCAGGGATCTTGTGACCGCAGTACTTGTCAGCCCCGAGCCGCTTGTCTTTGTAAGACAGGTATGCGTCTGGTCGGCATATCGTTTGCGTCATCATTAGTGCAACGATCACTACGATGGCGAGGATTTTGAATACTTGGGACGACATCTGCAACACACAGAAAGAGACACAAGTGGTGCTATTATTGCACATTACGACGTATTGCGATGCATTGTTATTATTAATTTCATGATTAGGATGTATGAGTGCTGCAGGGAAACGCCGTGATTTTGTCACTTTTTCTTGAAATTTCTTCAATTCGAACTGTTGTCGATTTCGAAGTGGAATCTAGACTGCTACGTGGACTAGTTATACTTTTGCGCTACTATCATGCACAGAAAAAGGTGAACGTGCCGTGCCATCAGGGTACAAAAAATGTTACAGTACGAAAAAAGTAAATTATATGAGAGTTCAACTATTTTCGGTGTAATTTTGAAATAGTTTATTGTTAAGTTAGATTATCCGCCCGGAGAGCGATTTAAATTACCTACTTAAAACAAGCTTCGGCTTATGCTTCATAAGAGTGAAAAATGTAATCAGATCAAAAGTTGCGGGTTACTCAGATTAGGTGATAAAATGCGATGGTTTCAATTTTTTTTTTCCTCTCCAGCCCGTGATTTATTAAAAATTTCGAAAAATCTATGGTAAAACATGCAATGTGTCCCAATACCGTGCGTGTCTCTCTAGCATGTATCTACAGCATTGTGTGGTACAGGTATGTCTTTCCTTCTAATTCTAGCTATCTGTTGAGTGAACTGCACCAGGAGGCATCGTAGCGAACGATCTGGCGATTGCTAGTTACGTTTCCGACTATGTACGGACAATTTCCCCGCTCCCGATTTCCAAAGCTTATTCCGCGCTCTAGTGTGCTATTGTACATGTATACTCACATACAGTATTCATGCTATACCCTATACATGTTTCCTCTGAACACGAGAGTCAATGCGCTCTCTCGGCGTTGTTGCACAGATAAACGGATTTCACGCGGAAATGAAAGCCTTTCCTTCAACGCTGTGTATATATATACATGTACACTTGTGATATCGTTATCGGAGGACGCATTCGAACGACTCAATTCTGGCCCGTGAAAATCGAATGGCTCCATTGGCGAAACAACAACAACAACTATTGGCGAACATAATCGACGCCAATTCCTTGGCTCCGATCGCTTTTATTTCCTTTAAATGGACAGTGTAATCATTTGTAGGCTGAAACGTAAGCTCAATAAAAGATATATGATGAAAATTAAATTCCTTGCCAATTCCAAGAGATTTCTGTTTAGAGTTTTTTTTTTTTATTAAATAACTTATAGAGCTTTTCAGATGTTTTTATTGTTGTACAACACTTTGCATAGATATACGTGGTGCAATTAAAAATTAAACACATCTCAACTGAAAAAAAAAAAACATTTTTCCAATTATTGAACGGTCATAAATTTCAAAGATTGCGGTCCATTGGTACGGATCGAGATACGAAAACAAGCAGAGTAGTGAGTTACTCGAAATGAGAGAGAGAGAGAGAGAGAGAGAGAGAGAGAGAGAGAGAGAGAGGAAGAAAAGACGCCGAAAGGAAACTGTGTGTTGGAAAAAGTTTCTTTCCTCGAGCGACAAATCACGCACCGTCGCGGGAGGCGAATTCCGATAAAGAAAAGGCGTAACGACAAACACACGTGCATCGACATTATTTATTACCCTCGACTTTTCGGTTTTGCTGTACCAAGCGTCCTTCGTATACGATGTGTACATAATATATGTTCATCAGAACAATTGATCCTAGTGAAATTAATGCTATACTACGTTGAAAAGTTTGCGAGAAAAATGCTCAATACAATCACATAATTTCGGTTAGTTATCGTATTTTGTGAAATTCCAGACTGGAGCTGGTACTGCACAAAATCACGATGTTTACCCACAAAGTCACAGGTCTTATATTACGGTATACCTGAAATAGTTTTAAACTGAAGAGCTTCTAGAGAGTGAGCAGAAAAAAAGGCAACACTGTCTTACTGATTGTACGTCAAACTTGTAGAAAATTTTTAGAATAAGATGAAAATTATTTTTTGATGGTGGTTAGATCCCTATAAAGCACCCTCATCACTAACACAGTGATAAAAAAGCCGGTATATTATGTTTATAATTTTTTAATTTTGAAGCTATTACCATGTACGTTTAGATTATTTGTTAATAAGATAGTTAATAAGTAAGTTACTTAAGGAAATATTAAAGTCCCATAAAAGAAAAACATTTTTTTTTTCCAAATCGATAGTATTCTATCTGGAAAACATGTTTGTGAAGACTCAAGCCCATAAAAAAAGCCGCCCCGATTAGTGTCCGCACGCGTCGGATGTGCACCTGAACACTTTCCTTCCCGAGCGGCGCACAGCGGGCCACAAAGCACTCGATGCATCCTCTTTTACGGCCCTTTTCCTCGGAGAGTATTCCTAAAGACGTAAACAGATGATCATATAGTACGTGCTTGTCTCTGGGCCTTCGTAGATTCAAATCTTTTTGGAAAGGGGCTTAAGAACGGGTAATAAAAATATAAGCTGGCAAACCACATCGTTAAGATTAGGGGAAGCTGGCATAGACACCCATACTCGACTTTGCAACTAATAGAAAAGGACAAACACCGCGGTAAAAGAAAACATTATAATCTACCGTCGGCTCGATTCCAAAAATTAGCAAACATCATTGGGTTCTGCTGGATAATGAGCCATGCTCATTTATAGTCGTGGGGTTTGAAAAATAGTGTGTACTTAACAGTGGCTCATCTCGTCCCCTCCAATGGAGGAAAGAAGATTGGCCTTGTCCCTAAGAAGGGGAAAATTTGGTCCTGTGCTACAGAGGATAATCATTTGGATTATTCACTGGCTGGATTATCTCTACACTTTCATTAGTGAGAAACCTCTAATTATCAGTTAACATTTATTTATATAGCAGTTAAGTTTTTCATTTGATTTTAAAATTTTTTGTTTAGCCTTACCATAAACATTCACTTTCGAAATGAACTCACAGACGATTTATGCCGATTTATCAATGTCACACTATCTATTCTAAACAATAATATTAAATAGAAAATATTGTATTAGATATTAAGTCAACAAATCAAAAAGTATAAGGTATGTTACGATTTCAAATTCCCAGACTGATTCAGAGAGCTAGTTGATTCCCTTTTTTTTAGCACAAAGACAAACCATTTTACTATTATTAAAAAATACAATCAGAACACAAGTTGAAGCTTCTATTTCGCGGTATGTCAGCTTGCTTTAAAGTATCTCAATTCGAGGAGTAAAACACTGGAAAGAATTTTTTTTTTTTTTTTTTTGTTTTCACCAGAAATTAATAGATTTAAATCACATTATACATGATCAAATAATGACAAAAATACATGTATAAGAGCGCTTTGCTTTGCCTCCTCCAACGACTTGCTTATAGTTACAGTATAATACACATGACTTGTAAGTATTTTGAAATAATTATTTATGTGAATTTTTTGCTATAAGTAATATAATATTTTACTATATAGTCATCACGTACCCTTATTCTGCTTAATAATATGACGTGTACTGCCTGGGCCTTTTTGATTTTCAATTTAATATATTATCTAACGTAACACTACAAAATCCCTAGTATATTCCAAGATTTTTTCGTAATGTGCCTAACTTTTTATACTTTAAACCAGACAATATGTGAATTTCTTCCTGTTATAAAAAGTGTAATTGAAGATGAAATAGATAATTTATTTATACATAACAAATATTTTTGACGTATATCGATAACTTTCATGATGAGATAAAGGAAGATCTTGCAGAATGAACATGTTTTAATTAACATTTCTCTTAGTATAGGTCTTAATTACGTTCCTCGGGCTTGTGATATGTAATAGCTATCATCGTTGTTCCATCTATATCGTATGAGATCTTATTTTTGGATGGAGCAACTGGAACATGGTGAAGATGTATACTAACTTTAGATATTTTTATCTACTTTAATAACAAGAGCTAATGTTAGATTTTTTTCGTACAGTCAAGTTTGATCAATGTACTTACTGATGCTTCAACGTGCCATATGTCACATGGTACATGTTATGTCATCCTTGCAATGAGTGAATAATTTAAAATTAAGCTTATCTAATCCCGTATAGTTTTGTTTAAGTCGCACCCAACGCGAGACATTCGGACCAAAACAATTTATATGCTACATGATTGATACCACCTTGATGATAAACAGTTAATCGAAATAATCTTAAATGCTAAAATCCATAAGTTTAAAGCTTTGTTTGCGGACATAACATTGGTATTCGTCAAGTTCGCATCTTATTATAGAGGAAAAAGTTTGAAGAGAAATAATGATATAAGATTTTTAATTGTAGTTTATAAGATGAATTTGTTTTTGAAACACTTTGATGGAATAATTTCTGTTGGTTAAAGGTAACATTTGTATGTTACTGTCAATTACCCTGTACCCAATATTATTTTCGATAAAAATACGAACAAGAATTAAAAAATCGTGCAAGTTACTTTAAATACATTAAATTCAGTTTATCAAATTAATGTCCAGACAAATTAATTCCAGCGTTAGTCTCATACACATGTCTCTCAATCATGTTTAAAATACATTTTTTTCGGGTGCAAACGGCAAAGGATACACACTTTGTGCTCAATCAGATGTTGTGAGACATAATATGCATACATGCGCTCGAACCGCAATCGTAACCACCTACGCTTTTTTTTATGTAAAAAAGGAAAATATGTAATAAAGAACCGGCATTCCATTTATAGGTAGTTTTACGGGGCGCTCGTCGCTCGTACTCCAAAAATAAAGCCTCAAGAGAAAGAGAGAGCAGAGGCGCCATACGCGCACACCTTATACTTAGGATACCCACGCACGTTGTCACGCTGTCTTTCCTTTGCATTCCCCTTTTACCAAGCGTGCGCTCTCCTTATCTTTTCCTGTAGGCTTGAGGCTGCTGTTGTTGCATACAGGACAACAAGCTTACACGGAGTAGGCGCCCCTTTTCTTTTCTGTTTTTTTTTTTTTTTTTCATTTTTTTTTGCATTCTTGGGAGTGTGAATCAGTTGGAAAATGATCGCGGACATAGCGTTATGACTATACATGTACTGTGTACAAATATCTCTGCGGTTAGGGGGGAGGGAAAGGGAGAGAAGCGCCAAGTCTATAAATAGCCGGCTTGCATTTGTTTGCGTGGGATGTGCGCAACGCTATTCACGGAGTGTACATGTAAATATACACGCTCCAGAGCCGATCTTTATCTCCTCTTTCTCCTCAACCTTTTGGCCCATTGTACCCATAATTGACTCAGACCCGTTTTGAAAATTGGCCTTTTGTGAAAGTTGCCTTTTTGTATATTTTTGTTTTTACTATTTATTTTTTTATTTTTTTATTTTTTTTTTTTTTTTCAAGCTAGTAAAATGATTCGAGTATACACTCACTTTTCTGTAGAATTGTGATTCATCACATGGAATACTGTTGTGATGAATGAGCTTATAAGTGAATTAATTACTTGTACCATGAATTGTGTAGTTTTGCTACTAATATGTAATTTTTTTGTTGATCAACATTATTTTACAAACCTTGTTTTCTCTATACTATGCCGAAAGAAGGAACTTTTCTCCGGCTCCGTTAAAGGAAAACTGCATACAACCCACGACAAGAAACAAAGAAAGTCTCAGAACACATTTTTGTCTAATGCCTGTGATCTGAGACTTTCTTTATTTTTTCGTTCTAGGTGAGTGCTGTAATGTTACGTCAAAAAATTTACTTTTATGAATTTTATGTTATAAATTATTTGGTTATCTTTGGTGATCTCGAAAAAATATCTTTGGTGTTATAACTTGGAAGAAAACCAAGAACCGGCTAAAAAATTTTCGTTAGTGAAATGCACGTCGTTTAATATCTGTTCTCACCTGCAGATAGGGTGATAATGGACTGAATAACAAGTGGGCGAGATAACATGTTACAAATATGTTCTCTTTCGTTGACAATACATGAAAGTACATCAAGTGGATCAACCAAAAATTTCCATAAATACATATTTGTTTGTGTTTGTACATGGAAGTGTAATCAGTTGGATCTCGGAATTTTTCCAACTAATGTTGATCAAGAACCAGGCGCATTTCGTAATTTTTTTTTCATTTTTCCTATTGCTTGAAATCGGTGGTAAAAATATGCCTTTTTTCAAAACTCTTTTTCAAAAACTTTTTCAAAACTCTTATTATTTTCAAACGAATTTTACAAAACAAAAAAATGTCTCGAATAAATGAAATCAGATGAGCCGTGTTTAAGTTATGTCGACCGTAATACCTGTGATATTACAAAGTAATATCTAATAAGCAAATAATACGTCTGTGATATTACAAAGAACCTTATTTTCGAACCGTAAATCTGTAATATTACAAAGAACCTTATTTTGACCAAATTAATCACGTCTTGAGAAAATTCAACCATCGCAAGATAATTTCTTTCACCTACGGTAAATGATTTTATTATCAAGGATTTCAAACATCCATACATTACTATTTAATAGAGTGTGGTGATTTATAAGCAAATTTTGGGTTTTTATAGGTTAAAGTACTTAAGGACTCAATTTATTTCCAAAAATATTACTAACTTCATTTATTTAATTATAACTCAGATCCTCTATCATAGAAATAGGTCTCGATAATTGGGCCATTTACACGACGATAATTTAACCGCTGCTATAAATGTTAACAAAAAATTTGACTCATAGTTTTTGTATTACTATTATATACGGTTAGAGTTTCATTAATACATTTCCAAATGTCACATTTTAAATACTAAAAGAAAGGAAGTATTAAATTCATCTTAACAAAAAATGATAAACTCGACCAGTATTTTTTNATTATTTTTTTTTTTTTTTTTTTTTTTATTTAAGAAAATTTTTATTATTGTCAAGCAGTAAATCAGAACTTAAGGGTGTGACCATTATTTGGCAATTTTTGTATTATAAATAATCATGATTCATAATCAGTGTATAATAAAATATGATCCCTAATAACAATATAAATGTAAAAAAAAAAAAAAAATCACATAAATCTTGTGAAGTAGTTTATACGTAAAACGCCACTGTATTTATACGGAACCAAAGATAAATAAAGTCCCAACGAGTATATAATATAAAGTACAGTATTTCAGAGCCAAATCGAGGAATGGCCGAACTTGTGACGAATATTTGTAACACCATACAGGGTGTAGTCGTATACAGTAGCACGTTGGGTTTTCTAGACCAGATTGCCTTGTGGGCCATATATTTTCTCTGATCCGAATGTTGTTGTTCAAGCCGCCCGGATGACGGCTATAAAAAGTACGTACGAAATAAAACTTAAGGAACGCGGGACGGATTTTACTTTCGAATATCAGTGACTCACAAGATCGATCTACGTAAAATTTTCCGAGCCAATTGCATGAACGGGGGCTATAAAAATTATCCAATGTGTAGAAAGTGGCGAGACAAACAGAGGTGTTAATAGAAAACAACAAAACAAAACAACTTACTGGGCACCCTCAAATGAGATCCGAGTGAAGAGTGTACTGCTAAATACGCGTGCGTAATGTACCAAAAAATCCTTTTTCGCTCTTCTCGCGGCAGAGTACCGAGTCCAGCTTGCGCTCGAACTCTTTGGTGGAAAAGGTCCTTCGGCTCCAACGTATCAGTGGAAGTTTTTGAAATGCCGCACGATCCCAGCTTCGAAGCTTGAGGAAAGAGGAAAAGATGGAGAAGGTAACGGTGGGGAGAAGTTTGAAGAGTCAGGGGGAGAAAGGCAATGGGTTGCCAGAGGAAAAATTAAGCGAAAAGGAGCCGCTAAGATGAAAAACCGAAGGCAATTATAGTTCAGCAATAATATATGTGCTCGCAGGCAGGGGAAAGAGAAGGGAAATCGGCGATTGTATCGCTTGGAAAATATCACAAAGGGAGGGTCGAGGGAGGTGGGATAGGTGTTTTACTGCAACAGGCCGTTGTTGTTGTTGTTGTTCCTTCTGGGCCTCTTTTTCGTTTTCTCCTCGGTTTCTTCCCTCTTTATTGAATGCTGCGTTTGCTATCTTGGTTCTTTCACGTTCGATGATCGGTATACTTCTGTCCGAAGATCAACCGTAGCCGATGGATGCACTTTTACCTGATGTTATCCCCGACTCTCCTTCTCTTTCGCTTCTTTTACTTCCTGAACAAATACTCGGCTCTACAGTCCAAAGCGTGGGTAAGTCTATTACTTGGTGCGCGAGTTTTTCCTCCCTCTTTTCTCAGCGACAACAGCAACCTCGACCTTCCTCGTGTAAAATACTGTTTTCCCACTTTGCTCTCACTTTTTGTTTTTCCACTTTTGCTCCCTTCGCTCCGGGACTCTAGCCGTTTTGCCTCACACCCTTCGCTTCTATCCTCGTGGTCGGTTTGCCACTTGAACTACTCGCTGTTCCTCGTGTTCCTCGATAATTTTACTTGTGTCTCGATTTCTGTTTACCGGGGGGAAGTTACGCGTGACAGCAACGCGCGAACTATGCACTGCTTATCTCAAGATTCGAGAGCCTTGGTAGCCGAGGTGTTGAAAAACGGAGAAAATTCGAGAGAGAGCCGTGTGAGTGGTAGGGAGAGGGTGAGACGATCGAGAAGGCCCCGCGCACTGTGGGACGTGTCGTATCGGGTCGCAGGCGATCTTAGTGTCGGTTGGTAGCAGAGAGTGCTCGTGAAATAGGTGCAAGATCCTCAGCCAGGCCAGAATCACCTCGAACTGCGGCCACAGGCGCAAGCAGAGTTCGCTTACATATACGGCCCCGACACGCACTCTCTCTCTGTCTTTCTCTTTTGTCCCCCTAAATGCTGCCGGCCGTCCAGCAGCAGAGAGTACGGGTAGGAGGAAGAAAAAGAAGAAGAAGAAGAGAAACTGCGCTACCGCCGTAACGTGGAGCATCTCTCAAATAATAACAAGCGTTTTAGAGAGACGGAGATAGAGAGGACGGGAGATGTGTTGTTGATGGTGGAAATAGGAGATCCGAGGGCTATAGAACAGAGAGAGGGAAATACATAGTTTGGCCTGTACGGCTGGGACTGGACGATTGTTTTCACGGGATATGGAAAATGGCTCCTTGGATTTTTTGTTAGCGTACGCTCGGTGCCCGTTGTTTGTTTGGCATTCCGGTCGGTGAAGCCGAATTTGAGTTTGAACAATGTTATTTTGCCCTTTGGATCTTCTGGCGTTGAAAATTCGGGGATGGCAGTCGATCGGGTTCTGCAACCGGGCATCGACATTCGTATTAAAATCATTTGTTCGCTTTCCATTCTTAATTGCTCATTCGGCCAAATGAGCTGTTGTAAATCTCGGTGGATTCGATAATTACATATGTGTATATGCAGAAAATGGAAATTGATGTTTTTGATGTCACGCATGTTTTTTTGGTGATTAATATTTATGACTCCTTGAAAGTTGGAAAAATAATATAATTATGTAGGCAGTGAAGGCTTTTCAAATAGGGTAGTTTGTTTCGACTTGCGGTGTATATTAGCAATAAAAGCGAAATAAGGTCAGGTTTTTGTTTGTAATTGATTCCTTTATCAAGAGCACTGAAATACAAGACTCGTGTGTTTAGGCCCAAAATGGAGGTTGGTTACCAAGTTCAGCACGGTTTGGTGGTCCACGTGGAAGATTTCTCGAGCTTTCTATCTCCTTGTTAGTTTTTTTTTGGCACATACGAAAACTCAAAGTTCTGATTTGATAAAATTTGATTTGCATGACATAAAATAACAAGGGCATAGGCAATCGTACGGAGATAAAAAAAGTTAACCTCGTGATTTTTTTCTCGCATTCAATCTAGTTTTTTTCGAACAAGACATCAAATGACAACAAACAGTTTGCTATCGGGCTGTTGGTCAACGGATCGAAGCAATTGGTGGCGATTGATTAGCATCCGTTATTGCAAAAAAGAGCAAAGTGAATGAGGAATATAAAAATTCTAAAAAAAGCATGATTGAGTTTTATTAAACCGAAGGCGTCCATTAGCGCACCCATGTACATAAGTTATACAATGGAAGACATGTACCTCGCAAACAGAATCATAAAAGGAACTGTAGATCGATCGCCGCCGGCTTTGGATTTTAATATTTATTTACCTCTCTTTTTTTCTAACAAATAAAACACATTCCTATCAAATTCCAACTCTTCTTATAATTGTTCCAACTCATCTTGAAATGGAATTCGATAACCGTCTGAAGAAGGTACTGTGTACCGAAACAGCTGTTATTATCAACCACTAAATCCAGTGTACTTTACTTGTTATAAACATGAATCTTCATCAAGTATCGACCAACAGCATTAATTATTCTCTTTTCTTTAGGTATCTCAACTTTTTTATCTCTCTCTTTCTCTTCCTGCCTTGAGCTCAATGTACAATAGTCGTTTCGTTAATTATTGCTCTTTTTGTCTTCCATTATTCTGTGTGCACTGTCTCCTATTTACTTTACCCGTCAATGATTCTCTTTCGCTCCATGTTTTTGATACATTTCTCGTAAGTATCTCCTTCTCGGGAACACCTTTGAATCTCCTATTTACATTTCTCCAACAGTTGAACGAATGACGTGGAAACAGAAAGTTTATCTTGAGCTATTCTCCAAGTATTCATTGTACGAATGTATATGACACCAGCAAATTTTTCATCCTCACTACAAGCATAAAGCCGGCAACATTTTTTTTAACGGAGCCCCTAAAAATTAAGATCAAACATCCAAAGGGTACATTTTTTTTTCAATTTAAGAATTAATCGAATATTCGAAATCGACCAGTGGGCTAGTCAGAGACAAAGAGAGAGAGATTGTAAAATATTGACCACGTGTAAGCTCGGCTCGACCATCCATTGCTTCGTTTAATCGAGCGCCCGCGTGCCTACTCGGCTCGTTAAGCCGTTACTAGGTCGTTATTACGTACACACCCTTACACGCACGTGTACATCATCTCTACCTATGCATGATCGTCAGCACCTCTGTATACATATACCTCCTTGTTACAAACGATTCCTCCAGTAATGGGCCATGAAGCCATTTTCATGATATTTTTATAGATTTTTTTATCAAATACAACGCATATATTAATTACAAAGGTTTTTGTTTTCCCCCTTCCATGTAAACAAACATACGTAAATGTTATGAAACCAATTTGAAATGACAAAAATACTGTAAGGAACTTTGGTACAATTGGTATGCTTAAAAAAATGAAAAAATACCGGAAACCAATAAAAACTGCGATCTTAACACATGTGCACGCTGGCGCCTCGCTTCGGCACAGAGAACGTCTTAAACTGCTGTAAATCATCCAAGAGAGAAAGAAAGCAAAAGCACGAGTCTCTAGTCACAATTACAAATCGTTTATTTATTCAATCTTGCTCGTTGATCGTACAGTCTCGTAATCGCATAAAGTGTTTAAGCGTAAATGCAACCATGCAATGGCCCCGCTGACGAATGGATTCTCAATTAAAAGAGAAAGAAACCGCGTCTTTTTTTGCTGGTTCAACGATAAACAAATCAATTGTGGTCGACGGTAGATCTTCTGTACTTGCAGACGTACAAATGTACACATGCACAATACGCGGAGCATAACAGAGCGCGAGTCGCCAAGATTCATTGCACTTTTCCGTCGTTTGGCGCGACTTTGTATTGGCACATTTGTACGTAATACATCAACGACGCGCCGGCACAACTTTTACATCTTTGCTGTACCCTGTGTCTCTTGCTCTCGTGGACCGGCCAATTGATTTTTATTTATTATTTATTTGTTTATCGGTCAACATGTTTTGCATCGATTATCCACACGTACAACACCAGCAATTAATAATAAAGCAAATAATATTTTTAGTGGTTGTTACCAATTTGCTCAAAGGCCCACGAAATAATAACAATTTCTATGAAAATCTTGAAATCCCTGCCTAGCTTGAATGCCTCATAAAACAAAAAAGTTTGCCATTTCAAATCGAAGCCCATCGCGAGGCATCAATAATTAAACAAATTGATCGATCGACCGATTTTATTTTCCGCTGACCACTTAGCCTGATTTATCAACCTCGTGTACAGTAGGTATAGGTCTAACGCAAGTAGAGGTTGCATCGTACTAGTACAAAATTGTTTTTTTTTTTTTTTTTTTTTTTTTTTCAAACTGTTCTAACACAACTATAGCCCCAATCCACCCTCCTTCCTTTGATCTCCAACGCTGCATCCGTACAAGCACCTCAAAGATGAAAACGCGAGAGCGACAGGGAAGGAAAATAGTGTCCCAATTTCATTAGGCCCTTACGAGTCGGTCTTTAATATTAATAATTTAATGCTGCCAAGAGGATATTATACTCGCTCTCTCATTGCCATTTTGTATACATGTTGTACGTGTGCTCCACACGTATATACGAATGCATCTGTAGCCGCGAGCTTTTACGCGGGCACTCATCTTCCACGTGAATCTGCACACAGTATATATACATGCAACATCGCATCTGATCCCCTCGACGACGATCAAGGCGCCTTTACGTCGGAACACGCATGTGTATATACATATAGGTACAACGTGTACGACACACAAGTCGAGCTTGCACCTCCGATGGCGTCGACGTAATTTCCTTTGCATATATGTATACACATACGATACGATACGTATACTCATAAGGGACGCCGCTGACGCCGTGGCGTTTTAAGAGCCTCTGTCGGTCCCAGCTGTACCGCGGTGCTCTTCGTTGCTCCATATACGACTGTCGCGAATAATTAGCCGCCTAAGCGACGACGACGCGACAAAGATATACATATACTAGTACGTATACATCGGCGCGTCACCGCAAATCGGTGCAATCGGCCGTACAACTTGTAAGCTGCTTTACCTATATATACGTAGG